TGTTAAGTAGCTTTTCTCCAAATTCCTTTTCTCAGTCAATTCCTTTTTGTCTAATATTTGCTGTATTTTAATTATACTATATAATGCCTTAATACATAAAGATAGGTAAAGACATGGATTATGATGGTATCAGGAACAATAATTTAAGTTTAATGAAATAAGTGAGTTGCATTTAAAAATTCTAATATTTTTATGAAATTATTTCAGTTTTTGGAAACTATAAAAGGAAAGATCATGGAGAGCAGCAGTATTATTTTTTTCTTAAGATATTTAGCAACTGCACATTAAAACTAATCTTGATAAATAGGTCATGGGGATGTTATATACAGCACTGGGAATATAGTCAACAATATTGTAATAACTTGGTATGATGGCTTATAAGGGTAGTCATTTTTTAATGTATATAAATGTTGAATCACTATGAAATGAATCACTTGAAATGAATACAATATTGTATGTATACAATAAAGTATGTAAATCATACTTTAAAAAAGAACGTCTTGATACATGATTATATAAGTTGAGAAGTACATTATTTTAAAGTTATTTTTTTTAACAGTTGTTTATTTATTTATTTGTGAGGGAGATCAGCCCTGAGCTAACATCCATGCTAATCCTCCTCTTTTTGCTGAGGAAGACTGGCTCTGAGCTAACGTCTATTACCAATCCTCCTCCTTTTTTTTTCCCCCAAAGCCCCAGCAGACAGTTGTATGTCATAGTTGGACATCCTTCTAGTTGCTGTATGTGGGACGTGGCCTCAGCATGGCCGGAGAAGTGGTGCGTCGGTGCGTGCCCGGGATCTGAACCCGGGCCGCCAGTAACGGAGCTCACGCACTTAACCACTAAGCCACGGGGCCGGCCCCTAAACTTATTTTTAAAAGCCCTTTATATGGCAATTTAATAGTGTGAGACTCTCCATAAAATATATTTAAAACATAATTCTCAAGTGTGATAGGATTCACAGGGAATATAAGCAACTTTTACCTTAGTGAGATGATCATATAATGCTTAATAGCACTCTAGAAAGGACTTAAAACAAAAATTAATATTTTTCTGACTACAAATATAACACGTTCATTGTATTATTGGAAAAAAACAGAGAGCACAAAGATAAACACAGTTATGTCTCATCACTACCAAACCACGAGAGTGCAGATCATGTTTGCTATATACCCATCCATTCATTTCTCCCTTTACCCCTTTTTCCACTCAAAATAAATAGGCCTGTTTTCTTTTCTTTCTTTTTGCTTAACACTTTTTAAACTTAAAATAATTTTTAAACAAACACATTACATATGTACATTCCCAATGCAATTACTCTTTTATATTACATAACAATGTAAAATTGTCTGTCATAATTATTGTACCCATTTTACTATTGTTGAACATTTAATTTGTTCCAAGATTTAGATATTAAATAACATTTCTGTAAATGTTAAAATCATTAAATCCTTCTCTCCTCCACTCTACCAATATTTCTTGAGTGAGTGAATGAATGAAATATTTGCACATATTCACATATTCCTAACCCTAATTCATACATGTAGTTCACTATCTATCTGTGTGTCTAATATCTATCATCTAATTCTACTTTTCATATATCTAAAATTTGCTAGAAATAGATATAAATGGGATTTCTGGAAAATTTATGATTACAAAAATTAATGTGTTATTTTCTAGAATTATAGAAACGGGACTAGAATTTTTTCATAACTGAAAATGACTTTATAGATCCTTTAGTTTGAGGGTTCTTAATTTAATATGGGAGAGGATATTAGAATCAACTGACTCTTTCAAAAGACATCCTCCTGTTGTGATACAGTGCTTTATTGGTGGGGGAGGAGGCTCCCCAGGTGATTCTGATATGCCCCACAGGATAAGGACCTCACCTGTAGCCCAACATCATTTGTAAGTCAGAAATCTGAAGCCCAAGTAACAGTGACTGGGCCAAGTCTGAGATGTTATTAATGTAACAGAGTAGAACCAAATCTCCTGACGTCTATACTTTCCACTATGCCTTTCGGTGGTATTTGGTAAGTATGTTCTTTGTAATAGGTATTATATGAAAAAAAAATTCCAGGTCACATAAACTTGAGAACAGTGGGCTAAACACAGTTTTCTTAGTTGAGCTTATCTCAGAGCCTTTGATATACCAACGTGTTTTGTTATTTTCTAAATAGAAGAATATAATGTGCAGCATTTTTCCAACTTATTTCTGGATGGAGCTAACCCCTAGAGGATCTTGAGGGACTACTGTCTTTTGAAACATCCGTTGACAAATATTACTTGCCATATTACCATGTGCATGCACCTATTATTTATAAGTAATAAAACTTTGTTATATATTGGAGGGTAGAAAAAATTTAGGCATCCGTTAATATGCTTATTATTAATCAATCTTAATTTTTTCATGAGTAGTTCTACTAAATAAAAATATATGCCTAATTTAAACTATTGATACCTTTTAAAGCATTGGTCTTTCAATTTTAGTGTGTATCAGAATCACCTGGAGAGTTTGTTAAACTAAGGCTTGCTCGGCCCCACCCCTGGCATTTCTGATTGGCTAGGTCTGGGGACTTGCATTCTAAAAAGTTTCAGTGGATACTGATACTGCTTCTCCAAGGACGACACTGAGAAACTTCTGCTTTCAAATAAATGTTGAGAGTTTTCGATGATTCAGAATGTTTGCAGCTGAGAAGAATAATGACATCATTCATTAGTTGGAACTCTCTTAATATTCATGATATTAATGAAAGTAGTTTGTTTTAATATGCTCTGCTCTAATTCCAGTCAATAGTGCCCAGGAATAGACACTCATAGAATAGAGTGTGAATTTTAAAATGTATTAAAATTCACAGTTGAATCCAAGACTGAATCCCGGTTATCATTTTCATCCTTTCTTTATTAACAATTGCAATCAAGGCAGATGTGTTAGGTTAAGCGGTCTTTTGCTCTGTGGTTTCTCTTTTCCTTGTCATCTTTCTTCTTCTCTCTCTCTTTTTCTTATCCTTAATGCTGCACACACCTAACCTCTGTTTGAGAAAACAGAATGATTAGTGACTCCTGCCTGTAGGTATTTTAGCCAAATTTCAGACATTTAACACTACTGTTTTGTTATTTTGTATAATCAGTTTGCCAGTGGGGGAACAATTATATCTTTGTGGCTTTCACATGAATAAAAAATAGTGCTATGTTTTCAGATTTTTTTTTTGAGGAAGATTGGCCCTGCACTAACATCTGTTGCCAATCTTCCTCTTTTTTCCTTTTTCTTCTCCTCCCCAAAGCCCCAGTACATAGTTGTGTATCATAGTTGTAGAGTTGTAGCTCTTCTATATAGGATGCTGCCACAGCATGGCTTGATGAGCAGTGAGTAGGTCTGCACCCAGGATCCGAACTGGCAAACCCCAGGCCATTGTAGCGGAAGGCATGAACTTAACCACTACACCACCGGGCCAGCCCCTGGATATTTTTATCAGTGACAAATTTTATAATGCAAATCACACACACCTATATGTGCACACACACGCACACACAGTCATATCTAACTAAACCATAGGTTTCCCAATATAGTTCTTTCCTTTATTATATAGAGTGTATTTTCATATTTTCTTTCAATAATGTTTCCTTAAAAAAAAAAAATTTGCTCATGACCTATTAAATTGATTTCATTACCTAAAGACCAACAGCTTAAGAAGCCACTGTTTAAAAAAAGAAAAGCCTTATTGCTCGTATTTGTGTCTAAAACATCTTTCCAGCGTTGTAATTTCGCTAGGAAAAAAACACACGTGTGTGTGTTTGTGTGTGTATGTAGATATTAAAATATCTCAGGATACCAATGTGTTATCTGGTCGTATAAATTTTCAGAGCCATATGGAGAGTTGGACACTATCGCTTCTTTGTAGACCTGCTGACTTTATGTTCCACGTTCGGCCAGCCTATTCTTATGAAGTCTTCTGGTTGTCCACTTAAATCTCTTCTGTTGTTGATCACTTGCATCACTGCAGGGTGCTGCCAAAATAGTCAAGTGTTATGATTTTTTTCAGTTTTTTCTTTTTTGAGGAGATTACCTTGGGTATACAGAAAACAGTCTCTAAAATGAAGTTGATAATAGAGGTCTGAAGTAATCAAAACACTTTTAGTTACGAAAGAGTTAAAACAACTATATTTGAACTGAAAAAAAAGGTTTAACATAATTAGCCAAAAACAATTGTTATACAGATGCATTTTGAATAAATGAGTGAGACTCTCAGTTTCTTGCCAGGGGAGGACAGCAAGGTAATTTAGTATCAAAGGCATAGTTCAAATAGCTAGAAAATTAATTTTCATCCTTCAACTCCTGTGGGATTTTCTTGAATTGTTATTGATTGGGTCTTAGCTCCCACCTTGGGAGACAAATTGATTCAAGTTAGGATTTAGTAGTACTTAGAGTTACAATAGATCTCTTGTTTTCTAGTATACTTTCTTTTTTAAAACAAAAATTGATATACTTGGAAAACATGTAAAAATCAAGGGAATGTGACATAAAATAATTCTTTACTGCTATCTTTTTGTGGTCATGTGTACCGTTAGTTGTCAAACCAAGAATTATCCTAACTGCATTATGTAAATTTGGTAACATCAACAGTGAAATATATTTCAAAGGGATAATTTTAATTTGGTTGTATTAAAGGCACTTATCCTGTTCTTTAAATGTACGTTTTAATAAGTGCTGGGTGTGGGAAAGCTCTGGTCCTCTCAGGATGATCCTGAGTGACTCCAACATGGAGGAAATTAGAGAAGTTCAGTTATAGTGTGAGTAGTATTGTGAAGATAAAATGTGAATGCTGAAACCTAAATGGAAATTTGTGTATCTGATGTTATCATGGTACTGTATTTTAAAATACTTTTGTAGATCTATTTTTTGAAGAATAGACATTTGTCAAATGAAGAAGTGAATGTGAGAATACCTCTGTTAGCATAAGTTGTAATATTCTGTTTATGGTCTATCTTTTCCTCTATAGCCTGAGAAAAATGACAGTGAGCCAGGCAGCCAGAGGATAAAACCTGTTTTTATCGATGATGCTAATTTTGGACGACAAATATCCTATCAGCATGCAGCAGTCCATATTCCCACTGACATCTATGAGGGCTGTAAGTAAAAGAATGTGAACAATTGGTGGAATACCCTGCTCTCATCTGTCTTATGTATCTCATATGTGAAAAACAAAGGAGCAAATGTCATACTGTTTTATTTATGTTTCATTTAAGAGTCTGTGGTAAACTCTGATTTATGGAAAAGAGAAACCTGATTTTCATGAGCAGTTTATGTTCATAGGGCTTCACTACGTGAATATTTGTAGGAGAGTCTGCGTCCATTGGAGATGTCCTTGTACGCTATTGTTTAGTAAATAATTCTGCCCTCCCATTGACATCAGTAACTTAAAAAGTAATAAATATATGCTTTAAAAATCAGAACTATGTAGCACAAGTGCACACACAAATATTCTTACACAGACAAACTGATGTACATTTTAGACTCTCCAGTTCTTACTACATCTTATCATGTTTTCCAGTCTCTATCTTTCTCTGCCTTACCCTAGGATATAGGTAAAAGATGCCTCCCTCCCAATATATTGTGGGCTCAAGAAAAAAAGAAGTACTGGGGAAAGGAATAGACAATACAGCTAAAGAAATAGAAAACCACCAAATGGAAGACTTAATTGAGAAGGCTTCATTGTGAGGAAAGGAGGGGAATAAGTTGTTTAGGAAGATACAGGGGAGGAAGCTTGTGACAGTGATGTTCTCAGAGATACCCTATATATTAATAAGGGCAGATCCTGAGAATTCTAACTAGGAATTCTCCTAGGGACAGCGTAATCATCTATGAGGAGCAGCTGTGACCCAGAAAGCAGGGTCTGTTCAATCGTAGCTCTGGTCTTGGGCGTTAACCATTCTCTAACCCATTCCCCAATCCCCCCTCATTCCCTGCTTTCTCACATAAGTAAATGGCAAGGAGAAAGAACCACTCGAGATTTTAAAAAGTATGTTTCTTATATTCACTTTAATTAGAAAGGCTGTAGAGAGTACTGGGTATCCAGAGTGTATCCAGAGCTGCCTGGGTTCTGGAGCCAGATGGCCTGGGTACAAATCTAAATTTTAACAGTATTGTTTCCTTGGACAAATCCTTTGACTTTCTGGGCAAACATTTCCTCACCTGTAAAATGGGGATAAGATTAGTAACCTGAAAGGTCATTTGAGGATAAAGCAAGTTAATATATTTAAGTTTGTGTAATAGTGCCAGGCTCATAGTAAATGCTATATAAATGTTTGCTGTTACTATTAATTACAATTAAAGTTTACTTAGACACAAAGGATTAAGTACAGGGACTAATATTTAAATTGGCTTTTATTTTTTGGATTCACTGTGAGATTATTTGTTGTTTAAATGGGAATTTTAAAGTACATGTATGATTCTTTTCATGACAAATTTCATCTTCTATCAAATTATTCATTCTTTTTGGTTTTTTTTAATGTTTTAAAAAGTACTCGTTTTCCTCCTATCAATTCTTTTAAAATAGTAAACATATGATTTTTCTCTATGTATAATAGAAACAAAATGATGTGTATAGGTAGTTTCTGATGTTACATGAGAATTAAACATAATTTGATTTCTTTACAATCCACCTCACCCTATTAATTCCAAGTTCTTATAGGAATTACCTGGGATTTAGATTCAGACTTTTTTTTTTTTTACTCTGACCATTTTGTTCTTTTTTTAAGAATTATTTTTGATATTTGCAATTACATTTTGTAACTATTATTACAACAACTATGCAGACAATACTGAGCTGTATGGTTGTGTTTCTTGTTTTTTTTTAAAAAATTTTTGTTTCAAATTTTTTATCATCTATTATTTGTTGGGTATGTCAACAAGGTAAGAATCTTATTACTCTAAAATTATATATTTCTATGAAATTCACATTAGAAGAACAAACTGGCTGGATATAGAAGTTTTGAGTCAAAACATTTTCTGTCAATACTCTGTGGATATCGTGGCACTGTTTTCCGACCTGTATTACTATGTTGAACAAGCTTGAGGATAACTTGAGTGTTTTGATTTGTCAGAAAGCTTTCATGATTGTGTTTCTGTTTTGTTGCCTCTTATTTTGGGGATTTTTTTTTCCTTATTCCTGAAATTAAGTAATTTATAAATGTCAACAAGAAACTCAAAGTCAGTGATTTTTTTTTTAATAGCTTTCATTGTGGAACACTTTGTTTAATATAAATATTTACATGGAAGACTTGCATGTAAAACGAAATTAAAACAAAAACCACTATGACTGAAACAGATGTGTCCTGACCAGAATCCAGCCTACTTGCCCTCTTATGTTCTTTAATAGAAAGCCTTTCCTTTGTCTAGTGTTGGTAGTCAAGATAGATTTATTACTGAACCAAGTGGGCTCCCCTCCTGGTGAGTTAAATAAGACTCTACAACAGTAGAAGTTGTCTCACTAAATAAAGTGTATTTGCAGCAAACAGGAGGCCATGAGGAATCATTTCCAAAGTCATGGCATCCCAGAACAAAGGGAAGCAGGAACTTTTATCTTGGTTGGGGGATGAATATTCAAAAGGGAGAGGTGGGTATTCGCTTGCATAGGCTCAGTTAGAGAACTTACTTCCACATAATAAGGCCTAAGCTCCTCCTGGAGAGATCTTTGCATTAAAAATAAGACAAAGGGGCCGGCCCCGTGGCTTAGCGGTTAAGTGCGTGCGCTCCGCTGCTGGCAGCCCGGGTTCGGATCCCGGGTGCGCCCCGACGCACCGCTTCTCTGGCCATGCTGAGGCCGCGTCCCACATACAGCAACTAGAAGGATGCGCAGCTATGACATACAACTATCTACTGGGGCTTTGGGGGAAAAAATAAATAAAAAAAAAAAAATAATAAATAAATAAAATAAAACATATCTGCAAATTCTTTAAAAAAAAAAAAAAATAAGACAAAGGTCATGGGCATAGCTCTTGTGGTGAAGCTTTGTCAGTTTCAGGGTGGTCTGTGGTTACAACTCCTTAACATACAAAAGGAAAAGAAACAACTTGGGAAAACAGTTAATTGCTTCCAAACTCACCTTTGAGTTTCACTGAGACATCTAGTCGGTGACAGATTTTCTGGGCAAGTTCATAGATTATTGTTTGATTGCCATGCCCAAAGAAAGGAAAAATAACAAAGTGAAGTGTATTGTGATTTTAATCTGCTTTCTTGTGGATCCAGCGGCTGGGGGAAGTGAGATGGTTGTTTCTGAGAGCTTCGCCTCAGCACTGATTCCCACTCCCTCCCCTGCTCCATTTGTGATATGGTAGCAGGAGCCAGTGGGCCACAGCCCCATTCTATACATGGGCACCCTTGCCTAGTATAACTAGGCAAAGAGGATGGCTTAAGCTTACTTCCTGGTCTATATTGCACTTGAGACACCATTTCAGACCCATTTAAATACATAGCTGCCAGCTACCCCATGGGCTTACCCTCACCCCATCACCCTCGATTCAGGTGTACAAAATATTTAAAGAGGCTTTTCATACTCTTTTCCTTTTATATTCATGTAAAACAGTCAGTCTTTTTTCCACTTTATAGGAAAATTTCCTTGAAGTTCAGGTAATCCAGTAGTGATTATCCAGAAATTCTCAAATTTTCCATTAATTTCTCAAGGAAGGATATCAGTACTTCACACATTTTAAAAACAGATCTCTTTCTTCTTCTAAAAGCCATATACCACAGTGGCAAAAATTTTAATATTGCATACATATTTAACATAGAAAATGAAGGTCTCCAAAAATAGCACCGCCTGAAAGAAATTATGATTACCAGTTTGGGGCATAATCCTATAGAATATTTTTTAAAATGCAGACACTAACTAATGAAATAACCCAAATGGGATTTTTCATACTGCTTTTCAACTTGCTTTTCCTCCACACTTACAGTAGAGAAGATATTTTTGTTAACCTGTTAAAAAGCTGAAAATAGAGAGGAGGAATAGTTCTTGTCAGGAGTAGATTACTCAGAGAATATAAAAACAAAATGACTTTGCTTAATTTTTCAATGGGATGATATTGAAGAAGTAAAAATAAGGAAAAAAATACATTTATTACTTTTTCCATAGATAATTAGAACCTAAAATAATTAGAACTTAATTTACCAGTCTAGTACATTACCACGTGGGTACATTTTGCAAATACCGAAGGTCAGTAGACTATAATTCCATTGACCTGACTAATGATAGTAACAACCATTTATTGAGTTTACTAGTTGCTTGACTCCATGCTAAGTTTTCTTAAAATAATATCTCATTTATTTACTATCACTTTGTTAAAATAATTTTGAAGAAGGGAAAACTGAAGGAGAGTCTTTAATAAAAGGCTACATTATTATTAAGAAATGGGGTCAGATTTCAAATAAATTCTGATTCCAAACTTTATACTCTTAATCACTACAATAGATAAAATTCCTGATATTTTACTGTTGGGTTAATTGTGACTCAGTTATATTATTTGGGAGCCAGGATTGTCCACAGGAGTTGGTAAGATAATTGCTTTGCATGAGAATTTTCGATTTCTAATTTTTTTGCACTGTTTATTTTTTTTTAAGTTGAAATCACGTTGATAATTAAAGCCTTCATCTATTTTATGCTGGAACAGACATGAAATAAGACACACAAAGTAAATCCAAGCATACTTTTTTTAAAGAATATTAATTGTCACATAGTATACATATATCTTTTTTCAATATCCTACAATAGAGTTTTGACTTTGTATAAGTGTTTTTCTTTCCAACTTAGAATAAACTATGTGTAAACTTCTGCAGAGGATGATTTTAATAGTCTCAGAGAATTAAAAAAAATATTACTTTGATTACTTTGAAAATCAATAAGATAAAATATTTAAATAGGTGTTTTCAGAAGTCCTAATTCACACTTTGGTATAGGGCATAATTTTTTTAAAAGGGGGGAAGAAGCTCAGTTTTTTGATTATTTATGTAGTCCATTTATCTTAATATTGGCTTCACCTTCTTTGCTGAATCTCATTAGTGAGAATCCGACCTTGCCTGGCCTGTACTCTTTTAAAATTCATATCCAGTGTTATGGGCTGTGTGAGTACAT